TCAATGTCAAACTTCCAATAATTCCAAATACACAGTATTATAGTTAAAAGTCAAAGAATTCCAGATAGTGTGTGAATATAATTCCATGAGTTTTAAGGAACTATTGGAGGAAAGATAACAACTGAATGTGACTGAGACTTCCATTCATACCCATTCATTTTCTCTTCATTCCTTATTCTTGGGCAGTAAAACTTGAACAGAACAGAAAATTACCATCCAGTTAGCTTTCAACTCATCTTAAAATAAATGCAAAATAACCAATGAAACAGTGGTAGGTTTCAAAAAATTTTGGAACCTCTTCTGTAGGTGTGGCCTGCTTTCCAGGTCCACTGGTGGATCCTCTTCTAACCGGTTCGGTAGATTTGACAAACTGGTTCTACCGAATAGGTGCGAACTGGTAGGAACCCACCTCTGCAATGAACGCATTACCCATGAATAGTTGATTCATCTTTATATCTTTGCATTTTGTGAGGAAGTTCCAATAGTTGTTTCCTTGTGGTAATTTCTTTCTTTCTTTCTTTCTTTCTTTCTTTCTTTCTTTCTTTCTTTCTTTCTTTCTTTCTTTCTTTTTTTCTTTCTTTCTTTCTTTCTCTCCTTCTTTCTTTCTTCCTCTTCCTCTTCTTCTTCTTCTTCTTCTTCTTCTTCTTCTTCTTCTTCTTCTTCTTCTTCTTCTTCTTTTCTTCTTCTTCTTCTTCACACATTTTCATCTCCCTTGTATTTTCCAAATGGCATAAAGAAAATGCACAATTATCCATTTTGCATGTTTCCCTTGGTCTGAAAAACAACAATTATTATTATTCCGTATCTTTAGCACTTGATGTTTCCTGATACGGAATATCTCTGTGAGACTGAAAGGATCCCACGATAAGGAGACAATGGGTGTTAGTGAAGGAATAGAAACTGGACTATTTACCATACAAATGGGCATTAACTAGGTCTGGAAAATGAAAAGGGGAATTTACTCAACTCACTTTTAATCGTAATGAAGTTAATAGATACAAAGCAAAGTGTTCATATATAATCACAAAAAAGCTTGTCTTGTACTTTCCCAAAGATGCATACTGAAGGAAAATCCATAATTTCAGCCACAGGCGTATGCTTGTAGTATTAAGTAGTACAGAATGTACTATTCTCAGCATTGGATTATACTCAGTTGAAACTACTGGATAACAGCAGGCCATCCAATCTTCTTCTGATTAACTGTGTGTTACATTGTGTGACTGTAAAGTAGTATTTCCAACCTGTTAGGAAGGCAGCAAAGGTTTGGCTGCAGTAAAAGAAATACAGATTGATGCCTGAATCAAAACACCATTAGAGGATATGAATAAATGATAATAAATTAGAAGCTACTTGATTGAATAGGAGGGAGGGGGAATTGGAAGGATTTTTAGGTTTGAGAGATTGAGTATGGCTTCTCTTTTGTGGCTGTATGTTAGAGCTGTAAAAAGGTTCAGAAAGATATTTAAGTTCGAAGGATATTCAGTTGAAACCCCCTTTGAATTAGAACCTTTGAATCACTTCTAAAGTTGTGAACATCATTTGGAGACTCAGTGAAGCTTCTTATGCTATTTTCAACACATGCTGCCCCCAGAATGAGGACACTGCTGGCATTTTGTATACCTCCCTAGTATACCCACCACTGCTCCCACAATAGCCAACCCTAGGTGAATCAGTTGTTAAATTATTTCAATCACACCACTGGATACGGCGACCTAATTTCCATGATTTCTAAGTGCATGATTGGCAGTTGTGGGTTTCAAAAATTGTTCGAACCTACTCTGTGGGTGTGGCCTCCTTTGTGGGAGTGGCTTGCCNTTATCTATATGTCTGTCTGTCTGTCTGTCTGTCATCTTTTCTGACTGCAGCAGAGAAAAGAGTGGATGCAAACGGATTTCCAGATGCTTTTTTAAAGCCAAGGATATTTGGGGGAGGGGTCGGAGTGGAAGGATTAAGCCGCAAGACCTCCAGATCTCCTCTGTATCTCCTCAAAACGCAAAGGTTCCTTTTGTCCGCAAAATAAAGAGAAGGAAAGTGGAGGGACGGACGGAGGGAGGCCAGGCGGAAGAGGAGGCCCTTCAAGCAGAAAAAAAGAAAAAAAGGGAACCTCCAGCATTTTGTATGGGGGGGGGGGAAGAGAGCTGAGAAATGAGGTTGGGAAAGAGGAAGGAGGGAGGGGATGAATGACTAATGGGTTGGGTGGTGGTGGAAGGGATGAAGGGGGGGGGAGAGAGCCCTGAATTGGGGTTGCCTGGGATGATAAAATGGGGGGGGGAT